GTATCATCTGAAATATATATATATATATATATATGTATAAATAGGAAAATCTTTTATCAGTCATTCCTTATTAGTAGACACGCACTAAAGATAGTCGATAAGAGCAAAACCAATACAGCACGCACGGTGACATAATATATATTGATTCTCTGTCACAAGCTGCTACTTTTCTCTCTTCTTCACTCTACTTCGAACATTCTATGATTGATGGACAGATGGTAATGTGGAATTGCCACTATTACCATCACAAAGGAGAAAGACAGACAACAGGAAAATGGAAAAATAATACAAAAAAAAACTTCAATTCTATACTTATTCTCTTAATCTATTACTAGCATTCGTCGCCATCGACAATCTCAAGAAAAGGCGCTGATGTCTCATTTTTACTAAACTAATGCCAATTAGTAACGCGCGTGTGTACTAGGAAAGTAACACACCGAAATATAATACAGAAAAGAAAGATGGTTCAGACATAAGCCGGAATTTTACATTCGGTTAGTTAGTTTTTTAAGATGCGCTAGAGAATCTAGAGCGAATATACGAATGTATTCAAAATGGAAATGTTATACTAAAGAGGAACTTTAAAAATAATATACAATAAATTATTTTACAATGAGTATACCACTTATCTTCTTCTTCTATAATAGAATAACTAATTTATGTACTAACTATGACTTTATATACACGAGACGAGAAAATAATCAACTATTTATAATATATTCACTCGTTTCAATTGAGAATATATTTTTTATTTAGTTTAATGAATTTTTATAGAACAATTGACTGATTAACTGACTCAATAGTTTAATGCAACTAAGCCTCTAGTATTTACTGAAGTTAAATATAACTATTGTTGAATGTGACAAAAAGATGGATCATAGTCACGCTTTATAGTAAAGAGTAGAAACGGATAGAAAATTGGAAGAAAATAGAAATAGAGTTTTCATCTCTCGAGAAATGAAATGAGAACAATACTGAATGTAATTGGATGTCTGCATAGCATCGGTTTCGATATAATTTTCTGTATATAGAACAGGCATAAGAAAACCGACTGATATCTTTCCATGCACAGACGAGTAGGACTCGATTATAACGATGCAATAGTAATGCTAAGTAACCACCGATAATAAAAAGCAAGCGAAGAAAAATATAATATAGGAACTTCTATCAAGTTGCTATTTCGAATAAGAGAGAGAGAGAGGGAAAAAACGAGAGAAAAAAATAGAAGCAAAAAAAAATCGAGAAATATATAGAAGAACATCCGACGACAAGAATAAAGCATCTATCATTGTTATCAATTTGTCTCAGTGGTTGCTTTCACTGCTATATAACGAGATGTTCGTTCGCGTATAAATCGATAACATGTTCTATTTAGAAATAAAGTTGAGTAAACTGATCATGATCAATATATAAAAGATTTTTGCTGTCATGATCATTAAACGAATAGAGAGAAAAAAGTCGATAATAATAATGAACAACGATACTATAGTAATAGTAACGAGAATGATGAAATTATTAGAAGTAGATAGCCTAAAGATATAATATAATGTTGATAGGCCATTATGATCGATAGTATCTCTTAGTAGACTCTCAACAATGATAAAATTAATTTCAAAAAAAATTGAACATATATTCATCGTTCAGGTTGCTATTTTTTTCCCAATTGCTTTTTATCGTATATGATTTATCTATAATCCCTCGAATCTATCATTCACGATCAATTAAATCAATCAAAATATTTATTAATCATATCTAGAAGATCTAGGTAACTCGAATATCTTGTCATATAAATTTTATCTTAAATTAATACAATCTGACATTGTTATTGATTTTTAGTAGTTATGATAGAAAATTTAATACATAAAAGATATAATTTATAGAATCTTTTTCTTTTCATTCTCTCTCTCGAGAGATTCGCACACACATCAGAATCAGACAATAATTTTCCATATAATCTTTTGCCGCTTGATCTTTCATAAATCTTAGCTTATGGAAAAAGAACTCGTATTGTAGAATTATTTTCGACCTTATTTCATGTCAATAAAAAAGAACTTATCGATCGATCAATGTGCGTGTCGATATTGTTACTATCGTTTTATTCGATTATTGATTGTATTAACTAATTTAATCTTTAACATAAAACTCAAAATAAAGAAAACTTTATAGAAAATATTCCTTTTTATTATTCACTAAACAAAAACAAAATAAGATTATGATAATAATTCATATTGTTTTTCGCAGATTAATATATATATTTACTAGTTAGAACCAGATATATGGAAATTTTTTTATCATTAAACATGAAACTTCTTATAAGTGCAGGAAAAAACGTGCTATGAGTGGTCCTATATAAAAAATAATGCTTTTCATTATAATAAAGAATAGTTCAAGAGTAAATGATTTAGTTATTTCAGGAAAAAAGATACGTGTTTAAAAAGCATCTTGAATGCACATTAATTTAGCCTATATTTTTATAAGAACAATGTCCTTTGCGTGTCATCTAATTTATTACCGTTCAGACTGTAAATTATACCAGCGCATTGAATAAGAATGTAACAATTAGAAAGAGACTATAATATTAAAAAGAAAAAGAAAAATGAAGGTGTCAAATAAATATAATATAACGTAGTCATATGTCATAGAAGTTAACCGCTATCAAATTTTTTATAGGATAACCTAAGAGATTATTATAATATATTAGAATAGTTTTTTTTCTAGACATAATTATATCGATGTTTTCAGTATGTAAATGTCTAAGGAATCAATATCTATGTAAAAAAAAAGATACTGGAATTCTATAATTGCAATAGAAGATAAATCATGTCTTTAGCAACATAAACCTTAGTATAGTCAATCTATGTTAATAGTATTCTTATCAGATCAAAATGCACATTCATTTTATATTATTCCCTATCCTTATTTTATGCAAAATAGAATATATTTCATTAATATAATGTATGTTGTGTGTAAATAAAATATATCTCGATTTTAATATTTTATTACGAATAGTTTTGTTTCAAAGGATATCGTATGTTTATATCTGAAAACTTATTCAATTCTATGAGACGTTTAGGTTTTATGCTGCGATATAAAAAATAAGTGTTTTCTAATTATCAATTAATTCTGTTTTAAATTGTCAGAAAAGCTTTTCAATATGCATTTTGTGTGAATTTATGCAAGGTCAATGAATAAAATGAGAACTATCATACTTCAATTTTCCTTTTATAATTAAGTGAACTGTTAACGATCTGATTAATGTGTGAATATTGTGTATTCTAGCGCTTAAAAATCAATTTTTTCTGCATTCATGAATATATTTCTCTGAAGATAAATGTATTCATTGTATTATTTATCATTTGTGATCCAGTATATATGCAAAATTAATATGAAAATATTTTTTTAAATAGTTAGTCGCGCATTCTCTTTTTTTTTGATATCTTTTTATTCCCACTTATATAACATTTCCGTTTTCAAAACTCATATTGACAGTCATGATTAGAAGTCTACTCGATGGATTGATGAGTAATAATGCTCACTAGGAACTTTTTTTTTCTTCTGAGTGCTTCTCAAGTCAAGAAGGAAAAAAAACGGTAATAGAAAACATTTTAATAAGAAATTACTCAAAGAAACTGATTTAGCATGCTTAATATAAATAAATGCAAGTAGATAGCTTAATTCCTGAATGATAATACGACTAATTTACTATAATATTGACGTCGATCATTGATCAGTTCTTAGAATTAATTAGCTTTCGGTTCAAATAGTAGAATGCGTCAGCCTTTAGATCGTGAATCACAGTTGCACTTATTTCCTGCTTTTTATTATTGCTAGCTAAAATGAATTGTTAATTGTATGATTAGCTGGACTAACCTTTAAATAATCTAATGTTTTTGCATATCTCATGACCTTTTGACTTCCGCTTTTTTCATATGACTGTGTCTTTAAAAGAAAAAATGATCTTAGAGTTCTATGGGAACTATTATCAATTAAGGTTATCAACACAAATAGAATTATTCTAAAATTCATTCTAAGCTATTACTAGAGAATGAATGATTACATGATGAATACAGCAATAACAAATCATACATTATTTCAAGATCAGCCTATTGATACTTTTTAAATTAGTATGTTACTTGTTCACTGTCTCATCTATGATTTGAAAAGTAATTTAAAGAAATGATATATTCAAACACAGACCTAAAACGATGTTGGTGCCTAATATATAACATTTGATAAGAAATTGATCATTTATAACATTGTGATATTTTGATCTCGTGATCTACAATACTACTCAGGAATAACAAAACTATAAGTGATTTTTTAATTTCTTCTTCATAGATGATCGATTAATCTATATCACTTATACAAAGTGCTATAAATCAAAATATACTATGCGATCAATAGTTAATTGCCATAGAATTTATATGCAGATATCTTTCATGCTTAATATTGATCTTCGTCATAGTTAACTTAGTATAAAATACGGTTTAAATAGATTTATCTGATTGATAGATTCATGTGTATACATTTTGCACATATAAACTTGTATTGCGTAGAATATTTAACGATCATATAGACAGATTAAATTGATCAAGTATATTCTGATCTGTATTCTCAGATATTTTGTGCACGAAAAGAAACATGAACAAATTATAATGGATCTATTGCCGAAACGAGACACAAACAACTAAAATCATCTATCTAACAAAGTTAGTTGTTAATAGAATTAAAAAAGTGTCTTTTCTTTGCTACATATATATTTTATTCTATTTCGTGAATTCTCTAGTACAATATATATATATACACATACACATACAGATAAGAAAAAGAAAATCTATCAGACAAGAAACGATCATATTTCGGGATAAATGAACAATTAAGATTTTGAACAAATATTATAGATAATACAATTTAATAATAAACATCAGTAAAAAATCAAGAAGAAGAAGAAGAATAGAAGGCAATTTGAGATAATAAATCAATTTATATTTATATTCATTTTAAAGTGGAGAAAAAAATGTATTCGATGGTGCTGGATAAGTAGTCGGAGGTGTATTTTGATAATGTTGATGACGTGTTAAAATAGGTGTACCAATATTATGTTTATGAACTGGTGCAGATGGTTCATTATTATCATTTTCAAGTAAAAATTTAGACCAATAATCATTTGGCATTTTAAGAAAGAATTCAAGTATTTTTGTTTGTTTATATGTTTCACCAACAATGTCAATACCAGTTACATGTTTTGATGAATAACCAATAATTGCTGGTCCCTATTACATAAAAAAATTCAAAATTAATTTACCAAAATTGATTTATTTACCATTGTTCGACTTAAATTAAGTATTGGCATTCGACAAAGTGGTGATACAGCAACACGTTGTAAATGAAGAATCATAAATGCTAATGTATCACGATTTGGTTTTGGTAATTGTTGTATAAGTTCATCAAATTTTTGTTGTTTAACAAAATCTGATTCTTCTTCAATAACATTTGCAAATGTTTTCCATAAAGCATTTGTAAGTAATGATTCAGATAATGAACGAAGAAAATCTTTAACTACACCACAAATTAAATGTATATCATTGTAATGTGATAAATCAAATAAGCCTGTACGTGATTTTAATATACGTTCTTTAAGATCTTTTACTTGACCTTCAACGCTTAAAAGAGAGAGAGAAAAAAATATATAAACAATAGATTTTCGATCATAGAAAAGCTATTACAGTCGGATTAATATTCAATCAAAATAAAAATTATTGCTTTTTTATAGAAGCTTATGTCTAAGTACGTCATATAAATAAACAATGACCTTGCAATTAAATTCTAATAATGAAGGATTTTTCTAAGCAACTGTTCATAATATCTCAGAAGAACAAACAACAGCTGTCACTTCTATAAATCTACATTACATCAACAAGCTCGTTATTATCTTAGCTGTATGTTTGTATTATATTTAGAAGAATTCTTCTGTTCGGCATTATACAAACAAACAAACAAACGACTGTTAACTTGTTTTTATAGATAATATAGAGTATTCTGATAGATTTCGATAATTTATATAGAAAAAACTTTTTTTTATCTCGATTTTTAAAAGAAATGTTAAATCTATACATACACATTCAATCGATAAATTCCGACTTCTTGTAATCCACGTTGTTCAATTTCTTTAATACAATGTACAAGTAAAGCAGGTACTTGTAACTGATTTGTTTCGCGTGTTGTAAATTTTGATACAGCACCGCGATTTGGTGTTTTAATATTAGGTAAACAAAGTGTTGCACAATTTTCTTTGCAGCCCGTATGACACAGAGCACTACATGCTTGACAACGATAAGCTAATTTACCAAAATGAATACGTTTAAGACACTATTAAAAAAGAAATTATCAATCAATTAAATTCAAATAATCATTTCAATCATACCACACAACATGTTTCAGGTATAAGTATATTTCTTGAAATAAAATTATGTGCACGTGCACGTAACGTTCCAATACTTGATGGACTTGATTTCATTAGACTAGTTGGTGTTGCAATTTGTTGTATAGGTGTTGATGGTGTTAAAGCTTTTTGTTGTTGTTGATGTTGTGGTGCTGGTGGTGGACTAGTTAATTTTGGTAATGATGGATAAAGAGCTTGTTGAAGTTGTTGTTGATCTTCATCATGTTTGGACCAAAAAATATCATCTGTACTTAATTCAGATTCCTCTAGAAAAATAAATTGTTTGAAGGTGTGATATATAAAATGTTTTTCTTTTTCATTGTACCTGATTTATTTTCAAGCCATTGTTTTGATGGTTTTCGTACTTTTTGTTTTGGTCTTTGTTGACTTGATAATGAATGACGAGCTGGTACACGCATTGGAGATGCATATTGTTCAACTTGTGCTCTTCCAACAGTTATATTTGAATAAGGTGAAGCACCTAATTGATCAGCAACATTTGTAGTTGCTCGATGTTGTTGTTCTTCATGATGAATTTCTGATGTTATTACAACAGGTCCATTATTTAAATCATTCATATCAACTGTTGTTGTTGTTGTTGCAACAATACGACCAATTGGATGAGACTAAAATTTATATCAAAATATTTTTTCTATTGTTGTTTCAATTTCGAAAAAAATTGAATTTACTTCATCATGTTTTGGACGTTTGAAATCAATAGGATCAATTGAATTAATACCTCGTTTGATTCCACCAACACCTGTTGATTGACTAACAACTTTTGGTAAATTATTTAAATTATCAAAATCAAGTTCTTCGCCAGTACAATTCTTATCCGATAAATCTGTTGTTGTTTCACTTTCAGATATGGCAGAATCACTATAAAAATTAAAAATTAACTTCAAAAAAAGAATATTCTATTAATAAAACAAACCGAAGTATGTCGCGTAATTGATCAAAAGCATTTTGTCCAGTTATTGTACCTCTAATTTGATCTAGACATCGTTGTAATTCATTTAAGCGTTCATTACTACGTTTATTATGTTGAGTTAAACGAAGAATTTGTGAACTATAATTAGAAGAAAAACTTAATGATTATAAATAATACTTAAAATGATAGATAAATACCTTTGCGATTGTATTTTTTTATCCTTTCGTGCTAATTCTGTTCGATATTGTTCAACATATCGATCCATTTGTTCGGTATATGATCGTAAATCAGCATGTTTACGACGAAGATCATTATGAAATTTGAGAAAAGCACTGAATTCTATGATGTCAAAAGTAAATAGATTGAAGTTATTTATTTTTTTGTATATTCATGAAAGTCTTTTTTTAAACAAACCTTGATCACAACTACGTTGTGCTAAAAGATTATTGCGTGCAAAAATATCTTGGTATGCTATTAAACGTTGTAATCGTGCTTTAAAATTAACGGCTGAATTTATCTCCATTGATATTATAAGAAAAGGAGATCTAAAGGAAGATTTATTTACAATAAGAGTCAGTAGGAATAAGAAAATTTGCTAGTATGAATAGAGAACAGAGACTATGCTTGAAGAAAGAGTGCGCCTTTGTTGAACATATCCAACAAAAAATGAGTAGAGAAAAAATTATCATAATAATAAAAATAATTGTAAATCATTATTATATTTCTAGAAAAAAGAATGTAATTATAAGCAGTTTTAATTAATTTGCTCAAATTCTATATAATAGATGTCGCTATAATTCATGGTTTGTATCGAGATGGAAACGAAGGATGACACTAAGCAACAAATATGTAGCACTAATTTATGCATTAAACACTTTAAAGAAAAGAGTAGCCGTGTGATTGATCTTGTTAACATATGACATGCATTGTTTTAAATTATAGAAATTTGTTATCTTTTGAATTTTAATTGTTAGATATACCACTGATTGATTGATTTATTCATAGTATAGTTCTTGTATAGATTTTAATTTTTATTTAAAAGAAGAATTCTTAAAAAATGGCAAACATGACAATGACTATGGCCGATTTACAAGAACTCGGCCGAACTGAAGACAATGAATCAGTGGAACGTACAAAAGCATTAGATATGGAATCTGGTCAAATTTCTGGTGCTGTTTATTGGTCATGTGATGAAGTTGCAGATTTTATTGAAATGCTTGGTTTTGAACGATATCGAGTATAATAAAGAAACAATTTATATTTCATTTCTGTTAAGTAATATATTTAGGAATGTTTTCTTCGAAATAAAGTTGATGGACGTCGATTAATTTTATGTAATGCATCACGTTTGAATGCACTTGGTGTTACTGATTTTAAACATATTCTCGTAAGATATGATCATACTGAATAAATAAAATGTCAGCGAAAATTTTCATTATAATTTATATTATTTAGTCAATTGCAAAAAGTATTCGTGAATTATTAAATATTGAAGAACCTTATTGGAATCGAAGTATTTCATTGCCTTACTCAGAAGCTATCGGTCGATATCTTGAACAACGTAGTGTTATGGGTCGTCGAGCAGATGAATTGGATTATGTTACATTTACTAATGACACACGTGATACTAAATTTCAACCGCTATTAACAAATCAAGGTATTCTTACGTGGAACTAACATTATTTATTTATTTATTTCAAATCTAATTACACACAAATAAATTTACAGAAAACAAAAAAAGAAACATTTTTTTATACACTAACACCTTTATATTGGGATCCATTTGAATTAGACAGCAGATTCACTTCCGACTCGACTTGGTGGCCGTTGGGCGAATATCGATCCCTCTTTGTCAGCAATATCGATGTCTGTACTCTGAAATAGTCGAAAAAAATGTTTTAAGTATTCATGAAAAAGATGTTAGATCATAAGCAGTAAAGGCGTCAATAAGAAGTGCATATATATAGTTAAGCAGATTATCTTACCGATCATCCTCGGAAAATGACCGTAATGGCTAGATATAGATACAAATATAGATACCGAATGCCATCATTTATGATAGAAAATTAATAAATATCTCAATGAAATATTATGAGATTTGACTTACCTTTGATCTAGCTAATGTTTCTCGTGATAAAGTTCGATTTTTAAGTCGATCAATTACTGAAACAAGAGCTCCTTTATGTCCACCATGATAATAATTAACTTTCTTGCGATTTTGTTCTAACAGAGGTCCCCATTGTGGTTCTGGATTGATTAAAACTCGATATGACTAAAAGTAATAAATTTCATCATAATATCTTTTTATCAGTTTAATTTTCTTACATTTCGATCGATCAATACAAAATGTATTATTGCATATAAAGCATAGAATACAGTTCCTGATAAAATTAAAGCTACTAAACACCATCCAAGTTTATATGACCAATGAGGAAAATTATAATTTCCAAGTCTAAGTGCTGGAAAATTTATTGACGTAAATATAATCAATGCCTAAATATTTTAAATAATATTCGATAAAAGAAAACAATTAATAAATTTTCTTTTTCATACAAGGATGATTATTGGTGTTATAAACATCCAACATATTTGAAATAAACGAAAAACTCGTACACCCATATTTTTTGGACCAACCATTGCTTTGATATCCTTACGGAAATTATTACTTCCTAGAAAGAATAAACAATAGATATTATTTTTACTGATAAGTTTAATAATACAATGAGCAACAATAATTCAAACATGATTGCTAAATAAGTTTGTATTTTGAGTCACATTATTGGAGATAACGTGACTTTATCATATGAAATTACTCCTATCTGTTTAACACTCATTTGTTGATACATTATACGTTCATATAGAAGATAGAAGAGACTATCGAGAATATGAAACTAATTAGTTTAATCAGTATTTAGCTGAATTTTTTATCGTTTGTCAGAACATTTAAACACAGAGTCCGTGTATAGGGTGAATCAAAAATCTTGATAATTCTTAGAAGAAAGTGTTTATCTCTCATATCACAAATACAAAATCTTGATTTGCTCAAGACAGAATCAAACACGTTATTTAGAAGTCCATTCAAGGTCATTTCAAATTACGAATATTTTAACACATACTATACACATATCGTCGTTCTATTCTCATGAACCCCTAATAGTGCATTATTTAATATCCTTGTATTATGCTTCCTCATGAAAAATCTCAATATTTGCCATCTACAATGTGAAAGAAAAACATTTTTTTCAAATAAGAATCAGTAGGTCTTCGTCATAATTAGAAATACAATTAGGAAAATTTATGATAATATTCATCTAATTATAAAAAATTATGTTCAAAAACATACCGTAAACATAAGCAATACAAATACATTCCAGTATGCCAATAGTAAATGCTGGATAAGAACTATTAAATTGATCTAAGAATGTTATCCAATAAATACCAGCCTAGAGAATTTCAAATATAGATAGTTCAACTATAAAATTCTATAATACTTACATCAGTACATAGTAGCAAACCAAGTCCAAATGCAGATATACAAATAATAAGTGTAATTAATGTATGATATCGACGTAATGCATGAATTTGATCGGTTATGACTGCAACAATCGTTTCAACACTAGCGAACTAAACAATAAAATGAATTTTTTCATTGATATTTACTCAATATAAAATTTATTACCATCGAATCTAGACCCAGTAGAATCAACATCAGAAAAAAAAGCATAGACCAAAGTGGTGCTGCTGGAAGTGTCGTGACTGCATAGGGATAAACAATAAATGCAAGACCAGGACCTACATATGAAATTAATTTATTGTTTTTCAATAAAAACTACAAACAAAATATTCACCTTCTGATACGACATTTTCAACATCTTGTCCTGTAATATAAGATAAATAACCCAAATATGCAAATATAACAAATCCCGCAAAAATTGAAGTTAATATATTAGCAAGGCAAACAGTAATTGTATTTCTATAAAATGACAACGAATAAATAAATACTTGATTAGAACTATTAATTTTCATTTACCCAAGTATCTTTTGATTAAATTTATTATAACTAGATAACGTGATTAAACCACCATACGAAACAGATAAAACGAAAAATATTTGATTTGCTGCATCATTCCATACACGACCATCAGCTAGTCGACTTAAATCAGGTTTCATATAAAAATATATACCCCGACCACATCCTGGTAATGTCCAACCACGAATACCAAGAATAAGAAGAATAACATATGGAAATATCGAAGTAAAATATACAACCTAGACAAAGATAAACATCTTTTTATTTGTAATATTTAAGTAAAGAAAAATAATTTAAAGAGATTCCATAAAGCAAGACAATCAATCATAAGCATACGATATTCGATCAAGTAAAAATATCTCAATTTAACATGCATAGCTGTCCCAATATCATATATATACTTACAAAAAATCTTAACTAAAATTATTAGGTTAGTACAAATAATATATACATGAATAATTTGTTTTATTTCTTACTTTTCCTGAGAGTTTTATACCACGACAAAGACAAGCAAAGACTAAAACCCAAGCTGCTAGTAAACTTAATACAAGTGGCCATTCCATAGTCGATATATAACCAATACCTTGTGATTTATTTAATATAAAATTACTAAACAAAAACAAATATTTTTAAAAATATTTCATTATGTTCGTATTTACTTGAAATAATCATCGGATGGTAAAACAGGTTTTCGATATTGTATTCGACTTTCAATATTCCACCAACCAATTTGTGTTAAACCTTGGTTTGTCCATGTATAACAACGACCATTTGGATCTTTATAAGTATTTTCATAATTACAACGCATTACAAACGTTGAAAAATCATCTGTACAATCTATTTCATAAAATTTAATTTTTGCTTTTTAAAGAATTAATTACACTTGATGACTTACTTGGACCTGCCCAAGCACCACATGTTGCCCATTCAAGTTTCGAACGAAATGAAAGTACAAAATAAAGAATTGAATAACCAACTAGCATAGCATAATAAACTATCATGAAAAATGATATTAAACTCATTGAAATACCAAGACCTATAAAGAAAATTTTAGAGATTTTTTTTCTTCTTACATTAAATATGAAGGAAAAGAATAATTACCTTTGAAAATAGGAGCCATTCTCCAACATTGTACTACACCTTGAGATGTAAATTGTCCAAGACTAGTTTCAAGATAAAATAATGGAATACCAAGAAGAAATAAAAAGATAAAATATGGTATAAGAAAAACACCTGAAAAGAAAAAACATTAAAATGTATTGAAAAAGTTTGATTTATTTATTACCTCCGCCATTTCGATAACATAGATAAGGAAAACGCCAAATAGCACCAAGACCTACAGCATAACCAAGACTTGAAAAGAAAAAATCAAAACGACCAGTCCATTGACCACGATCAGCTTTTGTGTTTACAACTTTATCATCAGAAGTTTGATTAGAATGAGATTTTCTTGGTGGTGGAATAGGTCGATTCTATAAAGTTATATAAAAAAAATGATCTAGTCTATATTCTTATAGAAATTATTTACTGCTACATCTTGATGATTAGGACCATTATCAGCACCGAATTTATATTCAGATACATCTCGACTTAAATCATAACCATGATAACTTAAATTTGGATCATATTGTGGATATTCATTGACATATATTTGTTGATTATTTCCACCTTCAATATTATATGAAGTAGTTGTTGTTGAAGATACTTCATCATTTGCTGGTAATTGAGCAGTACCTCGTGGATCTTGAGATATACGGTTTGAGTTAAGTATCTATTTAATTTAAAGCAAAATTAAATTCGATGTTATCTTTTATACGGTATATTATTATGTGACAAGGAAATTTTCTCTCTCTATTACTGTTTAGTTTGTTACGGAGGGTATTTTTATAATTATATACTCAGAAATTGTGAAAATAGGGAGTATACAATCTGTTGCTTCTAACCAATGATTGCAAATTATAAACACTATCACAAGTTTTTTTGGAATTTTTAATACCTATGTGATATATTTTCTTATGCTCCTTCAATTTCAAGATACTTGTGTAATCGTCATATATACTTTGATCAATTCTATATAAATATGAATTCTTTCTTTTTTATTCGTATATAATCAAATACATTTTATCTTTGTAATTCAATACTCTATTCACTTCTGATCTTAAATGAGTTTTATCACTGTTTAGTAACATAAAAAGGAACAATGAACAAATTGAGATTAATAAAAACGATCACTGTCAATTGATGGAATTATATCGAAAAAAAAAGTTCATAAGTCAATGAATATCATATTCTCGCTTTTAATGACTGAAACCTGACCAATCTAATGAGTTCTATTCTTATTCTAATCATACAAAACTTGTATGTCTTTATAGCGGACATTGTCCAGTTCGCTAATCTTATTCAAATAAAATTTATTAAACGGGATGTGATGATTGTACACAGAGAAGAAATTGATGTGGAAATTACAACTTTATCGTTAAATTTTTGAATTAAAAAAAAGATTCATCTTTTTAACATAAGGGAAGAAATTTGATAATTCATGTTTGTTTATCTATTGTCTTTTAGATTTACCAAATGAGATAAATGCAAATATAATATTCTTGATCTATCAAACCATATCGATTACCTATTGTGCATAGTTTTCATTTCAAGCGGATATTACTCTCTCTTCAATCAATAAATATTTGCACTGATTATTTGGTTTTTTTCTCTCTCTGTATAATACATATAATTTTCAAGGTTAAAACTATTGAATAAATACAATAAAAATTTCATATTCTTACCTGATGTGATGATGCTTCGCCAGATAATGCTTGTCTCAATGGATCAAGAACAAGCATCTTATTTCGTCTCTATTTTTTATAAACTAAAACTAACTGTCCCTTACTTGTCTATATACATATATGTATAAAGAAATCAATTTTGCGATGTTCTGTACAGTCGACAATATTTCTCTTTCGTTGTGTCCTACTGGTTATTTTACGTTTTTTTCTCCCTTCTCCTTCTCTTAGGATGGTCACATATACACGCATGTCATTTCTAACCTACGTCTGAGGTCATATTACTCACTGTAGTATAAGAAGAAAAAACGTGAACTAAAGGAACGATTGAACTATACGTGTTGAGTTACTATTTTTTTTAATTGTGTTTACCTGTTGATACATTTTCAATTGGTTTTTGACATAATTTATAATAAAATCAATGACAAAACAACATCAGACAAAAAATGATACTATCAAAAAACACTATCAGACCAGACGAATGAGAAGGATTTTTTTTTTCTTGCTTCGATGTTTTTTTTTCTTTTTCTTTATTAACTTCGCTACGCACTTATAATGTGCATGTATGCACGAATTTGGAGGACATATGTAATACTTGGGGAGCGAGAGAGAGAGAGAAAGAAAGAAAGAAAAGATGACTATTACTTCCAATATGTGACTAGAAGGATTTTTGACATTTATAGCTCTAAAGAACAAGTAGAAGAAAATAGAATGAAGCACAGGCGTGATTATGTTGAATGTGATAAGATGTTATTTTATCTTGAAAAGAAAGATTCTTTGTTCTACAATAAAATTGAACAGTAAAATATTGAAGTAATACCTCCGGTGTTGTTAGTTTATTAATCAAACTTCCTTTGTTCAACACAAAGAGTGTCTTTCAATAGAATCTTTATTTAGTCTAGAATACTTCAAATAAGTTTTATCAAAAAATATAACGAAGGTAATTATACAATGAAAAATAAGAGCTAAAAATAACTCATTTATTTAATTGAAAGTTCAATTGAAAAAAAAGCTCAATCAACCGATATGATTAGCATAATAAAATTGAAATTTGTTAAACTAAAAAAGTTCTTACATCATGCACGTTTTAACTTGAAATTTTAAAATATGAATAGATTTATTTCAAGAAGTCTTCTTTTGTTATAAAATAAAATGATACTAGAATAATTCGATTCGATATGTACAATAGACAACGTAATACATACCTTCATGGTTTTTTGCAAAACTTAAGTTATCAATAGAAAAGAAATCTTAGGTTTTACTACTTTTTATATAAAATATGACAAAAAAAAAAGAATAATTTTCACTGCTGGTAATCGACAAGGCTGGTTAGAATACAACATAATAGTATTTTTTTTGTCCACCATGTGACTCACGAGTGTTATTGGTGTGTTCTGTGAAATTACAGTGTATTGACATAATATTACGTAATTTCTTTTTTTCACTATGTATAAATATAGATGAATATATAGAATGCATTACAGATAAAAAAAAAGGATCTTTCTAATTGATAAAATGAATCCATCGACTACAATTAAATTTCTTAATAATCGTTTTACACTTACTGGTTTTTCAAGAGCCGGTGAGGCTACTGGTTTATTTATTCCCGAAATGGATATACTGTTAGATGCTGGTATTGTAGTAACTACGGCAAAACCTCGACGTCTCTTTATAACACATTCACATAGTGATCATGCTTATCAAATTCCATATATGTATTCTGCGTCATCCCCCACACCTCTTTCTATTTATGTACCAAACGAATCTGTACCTTATTTTAATGCTTATCTCACAAGTGCTCAATTACTTAATGATCATGGTGATGAAAAAGCTATTGCTACTTGTGCTCAACGTTATATATTACATGGTGTTACAGAGAAACAGATTATTGATTTGGATAATTCTTATCGTGTTGAAATTATCAATTGCTGTCATACAATTCCTTGTGTTGGTTATGCATTTTATGAAAAACGTAGTAAACTTAAATCTGATTATACTCAATTATCTGGAAAAGAAATTCAAGTTTTAAAAAAACAAGGTATCGATATAACAGAACAAGTTTTTATACCTCTATTTGCTTTTCTTGGTGATACAACACCAGATGTATTCTCTATGAATTCAAATTCTGCTAGAGTATTACTTGAACAAATGCCTGTTATTATTTGTGAATGTTCATTTTTATATGGTGAACAATCAAATGAAAGAGGCCATACACATTGGAATGGTCTTAAACCTATTATTGAAAGCCATCCTCATATTACATTCATTCTCATACATTTCAGTTTAAAACATAAACGAAATGAGATTGAAGCATTTTTTGCTGAACAATCATTGAAAAATGTAATACCATTCATTTAATATATGATTTAAATATCTATTTATAAGAAATTTCTTCAAGTTTTAGGTTCATTTTTTAACTTTGTTTGTTTATAAACAAAAAGATGAATAGAATAGATAGACAAACATTTTTTCCGAGATTGCGTTAGAGAAAAAAAACAGATATTACAAAAAAAAAAGACAATTTAAGATGACAAAAAAAATAGTGCAAGTAAACGAGAGAAAGACGAACGGGTAAAGTCGTTCAGCTCGATATATCTATATATATATAAATATAGATACTCTAATCTTTCCACCGTTCATCTGAATCGTTAGTTTTATTATTTGTACCAAGTCGTTGTGGTGGTGATACAGCACTACCATTTCCACCACTTAAACCCATTCGTTTATTTGTTGATTGTTCAATAACAACAGGTGCTCCACCTCCATCATCTTCATCTTCAAAATCTTCATCATAATTTCTATAATAAAACAAAAATATTATCAATTTTATTCATCGTTTCTCTTAACATACACATCATCAAGATTATCATTAGCTCCATCTTCATGTGTTAAGTTATCATATTCAGCTTCAGCAAATTTCACCCAATCTGATACATCAGGTGATTCAGGATCCTAAATAAATATATATATATATATCTTTTATAATTCCATCTATTTTAAAGAAAGATGTTACTTTAATATTTGAAAAAGGATCTTTTTGTTCATTATCTAAATATTTTTCAAGATTAAAAAATGTATCAAAAAAAACATTTGTTAATTTGCATCGTTTCAAATCTTTTAAACGTATTTTATGATCTTCTTCAGGTTTTACTAAATCAAGCATCTAAATTTAAGATAGAATTGAAGACAAAATAAAATATAATTATAAATTTCTATATATATATACTTGACATATACAATCTTCAAATGGCATATATTCAATACCATATATTTCCATTTTATGTACTTGTTCTTGATAAAAATAATCTAATTCAAACATTGATAATACTCCATCACCATCTAAATCCATACAACGAAACCAATATTCAATACTAAAAAAAAAGAAAAAAGATATTTTATACGATCGATTTGTTTCTTTTTACCTTGTTGGTGAACGTTTATCTTCTTCGGATATAAGAAACCAAACAAATTCATAATAAGACATTTTTCCTTCTTTCATATTTTGACTACTGCAAAATAAAAATTAAAAAAATCGATTTTTTTTTCTATTAATTCAATTACTTTGATACAGCACCAGAAAATATACGATCGATCATTTTGTTTGAAATAGCTAAATATATATTAATATGAATTAATTATAAATATAAAAAGATTAATATTTACCGCCATTATTATGTTTTGCTAAATCATCACGACTAATTAATAAATCATGATCAGAATCTAATTCCCAAAATTTACAATAAATTACATAAAAATGTTCATATGAAAAATAATCATGTATTCGATTAATATCTTCTTCTTCTTCAATTCGATCGAGTGTCTACATAAAATAAATTATAAATAAGACAAGGTGCTAGGTTAGATATATCATCGCACATATGACAGATCTATCTTATCATTGTTATTATAAATCATAACAGATACAAGTCGTTATTATGACAGGTACAGATCTAGCTTTTCTTTCTCATTTTACTATATGATTCTTTGAGTACTAAATATTACCGAAAGAAAATTTGATCGCCTTAATTCTTGTATAGTTAATTTTCCTGACCATGATCGATTACAATTATAATAAATTCTAGCAATAACTGTTTTAATATATCTTGAATGAAATTCTCGTGCTTCACGAAGAAATTTTAAACCAGGATGTGTATCAATGATATCCTGTATTAAATAATCCCAATCATCAGTTGTTAAATATTGACGATTTGTTGGTAATGATAATGGTGATGATAGAGCAAGTATATAAACAAATTTTGATGCATTATCATGATTATTTTTGCATACTCTTAAAAGAAACAAAATAATAAATTAGATCATTGAATAAAAATAAGAAATACTTTTTCCAAAACATTTCAAATTGTGAATACGCTACAGTTGTATTTGGTGTTATTGTTGTTTTTGATCCTAATGCATCAAAAACACATGCACGAAATAAGGGTGCTTTCCAATATAAACTTAAATCAATTAACTATTTTAAAAAAAATAAGATTATTGGGTTTTTATTTATGGTTTTGTTTTTTATTTAATACCTGTGCTAATTTTCCAAAATCTTCTAAATAGACTTTATCATGTTTTAGTTGAAATAATTCTTCTTTAGCCTGACGTAATTGTTTATTAAGTAATGTATCAACTGTTGATGTTGGTGTTGTTGTTGTTTGTCCATTAGGAAAATAAAATTTAGGAATATCTTCAGCTGGTTTTAGTATTTCATTAGATTTAATAACTGTTATCGGTACTGGTGATGTTTCTTTAATAGAAGGTGTTGGTTTTGTTGGTGTAAATGCTGGTCGTATAGTATTGTCAGTAGGTACTGATGAGATTGGTGATTTTGGTCTTGTTGGTGTTTTTGTTGTTGAAATTGATGGTGAATATTCAATACTATCGAATTGTTCACGTAAAGAAGGAACTCCACCACTTGTTGGTTTAGGTGATGATGGTGCTGGAGATAGATCTCGAAGATGTTTTGATGGAGATTGTGAACGTGGTTGTAATACAGGAGTTTGTTGAGATGTTTTCGATATAGTACCATTGGATGGTGTAGTTGAAATTCGATTAGGAAGAACATTTGTTGATGTTGCTGGTGAAATTGGTAAAGGTTCTGGTTTTGTCAATTGTGGAGGTGAAACTTTTCCTCCAGATACCTAAGAAATATTCAAAAAAAGATTGAATTGAATGAAAAAGTTTTCGGTTTTTTTGTTTTTTTCATCAAAGAATTTGAAACATCTCGTCTAATTTTATGATAGATTTTCTTTTACGAATTATTTACAAGATAGAACAAGGAATTAGTCATGCAACTACCTCAGGAATGAAGAAAGCCGATCGATGTTGCTGATCGGGAATAGTAGATGCTCCTACTATTGATTGTGGTTTAAGTGGCCATATAGCCTCAGGATTGGTAAATTTTTGTCGAATTTGTTGTTGAATATGTTGCTGTATTTGTTCAGCTGGATAACGTTTTTCAAAAACGAAATTGATATGTGATTTGGGAATTTTTGGTGATATCGATATACGTGCCAATGGTGTCGAAACAGGTCGACAGAAGCCTGTATGGATTCAAAAATATGTTTTTTTTTATCGTTCTTTTTTTTATCTGACTCATAGAGACAGATAGTAAAAAATAAATCTTTTTAAATGCATATATATATATATATACATGTTTTTTTCTTTCTACCTTTATGAATAGCATCACAATAACGACCATAATATCGACACTGTTCACAGAAGTGTATTGCTCGTCGGCGTTTCTGATCAATTCGTATATTGAAATAAACTTGTGTGGTGGAACGTACCACCTGACAAGGTACACTGGTCACTGTCATATTTCTAGCATCTAGAGTGTAAGAGGAAGAATCGTCTTTATGACTTTCATTTGCTTCTCCCTCTCTCCCTCTCCTTCTCGTATATACATATGCATATATAACAAATTGTTTCTTTTACTCGATTCATTTTGGCTCATTCCACCCCTTTCCTATTCTCTTTTTCTTTCGCACACATTCTCTTCTTTATGCTTTACACTTGTGATAAGCTATATATGTACGTCGACGAACCGCAAAATCGACAAGAGTGCCGACTCACCTCTCTTACTTACTACTTCATTTATGATTCGAGAGAGTTGAAAAGAGCGAATGGGGCGAAGATGAAAGTGAAAAGAAAAAATAAACAAAAAAAACGAAGAAAAAAAAAATCCAAGCGTTATATTCATGATAAAAAGAATGGTACTATGAAAATAGAAGAAAGAGGAAAAAAACGAATAACTATATGAAGCATCTAGTCCTCTTTTCAAAATATGCCAACAACCTTAGTCAATATACCGATATCAAATACCAATGTATGACTAATCATTGTGTAGGTGGCAAACAAAATATATACATGTGTATGTCTAGATGATGACGTCAAATACAATTTTTAAGTATCTACTATTATTTGCTACATATACATTTATAATCTCAATGAAAAACGAAGATAAATATATAAAATTTCAATAGTAAAATAAAAATAATCATATACTTAGTTTTTATTTATGAGAAATACTTATAAAATCTGTTCTCTTTTTTTTCCTTCTTTTCTTGTTCCATGTTTGTCTCTATTAATATAGATCTTTTTCCATACAAACACTCTTCTATTCTCAGTGCATATATACAACGATATGCTAAATCAACAAACAACGAATATGACGACTTTTCTTTTCTCTTTTTCTTCGTCTTCTTTCCATCTCTTCTATCATTCTGTCACCGAGTATTTCTCTTTTGCAGATATATCTAACAAACCATACGATCATGTTGACGAGAGATTTTTTTCTGCTTTCATGTCCAAGGTACATATGATGTAATTGATGGTTATAAAGGATAGAAGAAGAAGAAGAAGAAGAAGAAGAAGAAAAAAAAATAAGATAGATTGATGATATATTTTATTCTACTTCTTTTTTCTTCTACTACAGATACCAATAATTCTCTTGTTACGAATAAGACAAAGCAAAAAGGAAAAAGAACAACTTACTTGTTGTTGATCGATGCTGCCGGTTATTGTAGTATTAGGAGTAGTACTACCATTTACTATTGGATATTTTTTCTTCAGAGAACGCTGTTTCCGTTCATCATTAGTACTAATTTTACCAGGAGTATTTTCACCATTTGATGGAATTGAAGATAAACCATTACGTGGACTTGAAGCTGTTCGTGGAACAGGTGAAACAGGTGGTGAATCAAAATGTTGTGGTTTTGAAAACCCACCACCACGTGTTGTATAAGTCTATATACAAAAAAAGTTCATATCGCTCAATATTATGAGAATTATCTTTTTTTTTCAGTTTCTATTCGGCATACACACACCTTCGGATAAATGATAGGATCAGGCATTTTACTATGTGTTCGAACATTTTGTAATGCAGTATATAGTGTTGTACGTGTATCTGATAATGAAAGCCATTGCAAAAATAAATCATTAACCATCTTTGTGACGGGTATTGATGTCAGTGTTGTCGATGTTGAATTGTTCATTTTTCGTAAATTCTATATTAAACTATTACAAAACTAAATGAACGGCATTTATATCTGAAAGATGAAATTAACTAAGCATCATTCTCTTCTTCTTCGTAGTTTTTCTTTTGTATAAAACATGCAAATTTAAAAACAAAAATATAGATATATATAGATTTGAACTAATACACAAAAATTAAGAACTAAAGATCAGTCATATTGCTTTTTTTTATGCAAGACTATGTATGTATACTTATATTTTATTAAAATATTCACCAGAAAAAAAAGAAAAAACAAAGAATTAAAATTCGTCGCCATAGAATGAACTTCGACGAAATATCCATTTATCGCAATTATTATCGGTTTTTTCAATAACGGTCATCTAAATATAATAAAAAATAATATGGAAATTATTTTTCATTGACAATTATTTACTGTAAGAAAATCAACATTTCGAATAACATGGGGTAATGTTTCCGGACGGAATTTCCCACCACACAATTTACGTGTACATGTTTCTAAACTTGGAGCATGTGCTAAATAAAAATAGTGAACCTGAATTCTTCTTTTAAAAAGAATATATAGATATATTTGTACCGATAAATAAAATATGTATTTGTTGTTGTGGTGACATTTGTCCTTGTTGTATTTGTGAAATATATTCACTTTCATGCATCTTAAGTATACTTGATGTAACAGCATGACTTCGTTGATAGAATTCTAGCTCAGTTTCATATTGAGATACTTCAGCTAAACTCATATGTTCGTGATATTGTTTATCAATAACATATTTATTTTCTAACAGTTCTTTTTTAGTCATAAATCTTGGCATTGTTAAAACATTGCTTGCTTCATTTACTGTATACCAGCCAGTACATTCGAATAGACCTGGTTCAATTCTTAAAAGAAAAAAAACAAGATATTTTGTTGTTTTTTTCTTTTGGAACAAAATTTTATTTATAATATTTACCGAATTTTCATTTTATTATTTAATTGTAAACCATCAAGGATTTTGGCCGCCGTTTGAACACAACGTAAAGATGGAGATGAATAACAATAGCTTATATGAATATTTTTACCTTTTAATACAGTTCCTAATAGAAAAATAAGTATTACTAAAATATACAAATCGAAGATATAAAATATATTTACCTGTATGAAAAGCGTCTTTGAGACCTTTGTATGTAAGTGGTGGATCAAGATCAAAATCTCGAATAGATGCACGGAATGGCAATGTTTCCCTAGAATAGAATTTTGTAGATATATCGATTAATTTCAATAAATAGATCGGAAAAATATATTTTTGTTTTTTGACTACTAAGAAGAAATGTTATATTTGCATTCACTTGTTATTATATCACACATATTTAAAATATTGTACTACTCAGAATTATTCTCATTGCATAGTCATAAAATGCATGATTTATAATAAATAGAATTTTTTTGTTGAAAACTTACGGTAAAATAGGTGAGAAACGACAAAAATTTCCATCTTTATCAAACGCTTGTCGTAACCATTGTGAGGAATAATATCGATCTAATCGCTCACCATGCCGAATTACTAATAAACGAATAGGACCTTGTGTAACTGGTAATGGACTCATAGGTGGATATGCAGTGCCACGAACAAGATCAATATTTAATTCTGGAGTTTTCGATGATGATCCTGTATTCACCGGATTCTTTGGTATGGTGGATGATGATTTAAAAATTCTACGTATGAATTTGCTTACACCCTTTTTCTCTTTTGTTTTATTATCAATTGCTGATGCACCCATTGATTGTTTTTTATTAACACCCATTGATGGTGATGATAATGGCGGAAGATTCATACTTGATGCGCGACTATTTGCTATCGAGCTCAACTGGAAATCACTTGTTGTTTTATTAATCGTAAAATTAGTAATGGATGAAGAATCTGAATCACGACGGTGTTCGTTATCGTTTCCAGAATGTCGAGAAGTACTTGTTGGAAGTCGATCTTCATTTTCTAATTCATCATCTGTTGTTATATGTGTTCCTGATAAAGATGTAGCCACTTTGTCTCGTGATAATCTTAATGATGATACACCTGAATCCGTATCGTGATCCTAAAAATATTCAATGATTATTTACTATGATATAAATTAAAGTCCTTTAAATATCATTTCTAGATGTATACCGGTGTTAAGCTAGCTTTTTCTGTCGTAGGTTTTGAAATCATATATTTAGCCACTGACGTTTTTTTTATAATGAATCAGAAAAGAAAAACATTTGAAGTAAAAAAATACTCTTTTTCAATATCACTAGATCTCATATCAGTAATAAAGCAATACATATAACTTACAGGTGTAACAAAAAAGATACAATCATATTTACACCTTTTATTTTTCTTCTCGAAACTTAAAACTTAATGATAAAAATTGTTTTAATATTTCAATTTAAATTACAAAAAAAAACAACTAACCTTTAATTCATCTAAAAGATCAAGATATTGGTCTTGAGAATCGACATCTTCGTGAAATGGTTGACTTTTATTGATGTTAAGAGAGTTTTTCTTCTCTTGTCCTCGAGCACTAATAACACCAGTTTCTTCTGTCGTCAAATCATCTTGAATCATACCTTGTTGCCAAATAAAATTTTATTCCTTGAAATAATAAATAAATATAATAATCACTAGTGTAGAAAAGAAAAGGGTAAATTTATACTATTGACATTTCTCTATTAAAGAATTAGAAAAGAAAAATATCTTTCTATCATTTCGATCAAATGATGACATCAGAAACATTAATGATAATGATGAATAGGAGAGAGAAAAAACGCATTAAACTATGAATACGAAGAGAGCCTTTTCTTTCTACCCTGCAGTGTACGACATCGATAGTACATAAGCAAAAGAGCACGCGAATGTGTGAGCATATAAACTCAGTCATGTGAAGAGAAAAAAAAAAACATGCGAAATATTCATGTATGTGAGAAAAAAAATAAATCAAGGACTGTCTGTCATAAAAAAAAATCTTTTTTTCTTTCTTTATTTACTTTCTTATGTAGATTAGACAAGAATAGGTAAATGATTGAGTTCATTTATATGATTTTTATGCTATACTAATTAGATTTTCTAGATGATATATCAATTTGACCGAATAATAGAGAGAATAAATCAAATTATTTCTAATAAATAACAAAGAATCAAATAGATACTTCTAGTCATGTCATCTATATTCTAGATTAAATAAGATATACGTATATGTCAATAATATTTCTATGAAAAAAAAAAATTTGATAGATATTTAGAGAGACGTACTTAAATAATGGATTGATAGATAGCCAATATTGATCATGTGAAAATGAAGACATTTGAAATGACAAAAATCAGATTTATTCAGTGTCTTTTATAAATTAACAAACAGTAATCAAATATGAATCATTGAAATATTCATTTGAAAGAAACAGAAAATACGTTTATATTAAAGGTATGATACAGGTGGATTAAGATTACGATATTGTACAAAGAAAGAATTTTTCTCATTTGCTATTGGTTACGAAAAAATGACGAAATCAACTTGACAATATTGATGTCGCTTGTAAACAATCAGTGTATGGATTTGTTAGATATTTACAATAAAGCTGTTCTAATGAAATAAAACTACATTTTTAATTCAGTTCATATTCTATTATCAATAAACTTAATCTTCAATACTTTTTACAATATTCTCTTGAAATTTGAGTGGTACCTAAGAAAAAAAACGTCCTCGTCAGTAATACCCTAGAAGAACTGTTAACAATTCGATAACAGTATTTTTAATGTAATTTATTTTCCAATATTATAAAGTAAATAGATGACAAAAAACAGCTCGTAGCTGAATTGTATGTTTTCTTTAGTTATATTTTATAACAGCAGGACAATTTTATGTAAAAAATAATACATTTTTTTTATAACATACGCAATAAAATAATAATCATTATATATATTTTCATTGCTTTGATTCATATAAATAATCCAATATGCGTTCTATAGAATAATTACATGATTACTTTTGATGATATATCGAAGTTAAAATAGTACAACTGCATTTTTGAAAAAGATATTAAAGTAAGCATATATCTACTAGCTATGTAGAATATTCTCTAACTAAACAAATCACCATTGGAAACATATATTTGTCGAATAATCTATATGGAATTCTATAGATATTTTTCAAATATGGCACTATATTTCAGAATTCAAGGTCGATCGAACCATAATAGTATTAACGAATAAAAATCGAGAAAAACTAGAATAATGAAATATGAAGATTACTATAACTTATTATAGAGAACGGAACATAATTGACAAAGCACTATAGTCCAGAGTCATGTAGGTATTTTTATTAAGATTCTTTTTGCAGTCAAACATGCTTGATTTGATCAAACCTGATGTATTCAATTAACAGTATATCGTCCAACAAAACCTAGATCTAGCTGATAAGATACTTTATCAGAAAAAAGTGCAGTGAAATCTCTATTAATAAATGCTATCTGATAAAGCACTATCTTATACTGAATGGCGATATTTTCCATGAATTACCTAATTCGAATTCGAATATAAACGGACAACTCACTGCCGTACATTGATTCAAAAATAAACGAGAATAAACCGTATCTTGAGCTCCACAATAGTCAACGATTTAGCTGTATATAATTATAATTGATATAATTGAGTTGATACCATCAACCTCCAAGGCTCTATATTATACTATACAGATTATAATTGAGAGAAACGTTTTCTCTACTCTCTGAGATGAATGGAAGTCCATATATAAATTATAAATAATCCTTGCAGAGAAACTTTATTGTTTTCCGTTTTTTGTAAGGTATCTACTCAAAATCCTTCTGTATTGAGATACAATCAATAGTATCTATAATAATGAATCTAGAAAACATTTTAATCTGTGATAATAGTAGAATTTTATGATAAATAAATCTTGAGGGTGTGAGTGTGAGTCTCCTATTCTACTTAAGTAAAGATTTATAAGTTGACTTATTTTCGACGTATGATCTGATATTACTAGGAAATCTATAAAAGAAAAGAAAAACTTTTGAGCAACTCGATTTCTAATGAATAAACGTTTTTGAGTGAAATTCACAGATTTTGTATCAGTTTCGATGATTTCAATGGAGAGCATTAAAGAATATACTTAATTTCTTCGAGAATTAACTACTTTTGTTAATAAATTAGTGGTTTTATCTTGCAGTTATATATCATATTGAAGGAGTTACTTTTAGAGTAAAACTGATGTTTGCTTGTCTACCTGATTGGTACTAAGTATTGATATCATTTTCATACATAAATATAAAATATAGTAAAAATATTTATAGAACCTTGATATTAATGTATTAAAAATTCATACTATAAACTCCTTTTTTTCTTAGTAAATAAAGTAAAAATTAAGATATTTCGAGTCAAGATGTCGCCAATTATCATTAGATGTTTCCATAGTTCTTAATAAAATAAAGACAAACTTTACAATTTCATTGGGTCAAATATTCTTTGGAATATAAGTGTGTACTCTTACTAAAGTCAAAGGTAAAGGTGATTATCAAACAGAGTGCATTCTCTTTGGACTTTCGTCAAGAGTATATGACATATTCATTTTAGATTTTAACAAGATGCCACTTCCCACACGATCATTTACTCGTCTCATAAATTCAACAGTTCGACCAGTATATTTCGAATTTTATGCATTTGATTTATAACTATTGTATATGTTCTCATATAGAATCATCTCGTTGGTTTACAATCCAAATGTTATTCATCGACACAAGCAACTGTAAAATTCTTTTACATTGAAATAATAGTTTTCGTTTTTCTTTTTTTTAGGATCTAAAGGAAGTATTACGTGATCTTATTCCAAAAGAACAAAAACGTGTAGCTGCATTTAAATCTCAACATAAAGATGTACCAATTGGTCAAGTAACTGTTGATATGGTAATGAAAATAAATTTCATTTATCGATTATTATTCATCATAAAATATTTTGTCTTGTATAGATTTATGGTGGTATGCGTGGCATCAAAGGTCTTGTTTATGAAACATCAGTATTAGATGCAAATGAAGGTATTCGTTTTCGTGGTAAAACAATAACAGAATGTCAAGCTGAATTACCAAAAGCAAAAGGTGGTGATGAACCATTACCTGAAGGTCTTTTCTGGCTTTTAGCTACATCCCAAGTACCAACTCAACAACAAGTAATCATTGATATTCAAATAAAATATTTAAAAAAGTTTCATTATGAAATATAAGGTTGACTGGGTTACAAAAGAATGGAATAATCGTGCTGATATTCCTCAACATGTTGTAACAATGTTAAATAATTTTCCAGCACAACTTCATCCAATGTCACAATTTAGTGCTGCTATTACTGTTCTTAATCTTGGCTCAAAATTTGCTAGAGCTTATTCGGATAATGTACCAAAATCAAAATATTGGGAAGTTAGTGTTATTTTGCTTTTCTAAAAAGATTTTTTAATCGAATTTTTCTAGTATGTTTACGAAGATTCAATGGATTTAATTGCTAAATTACCAACAATTGCTTCTATTATTTATCGAAATTTATATCGTGATGGATCAGCTATTGGTGCTATTGATTCAAAAAAAGATTGGTCATGGAATTTTGCCACTATGTTAGGTTATGATAATAAGCAATTTGTCGAATTACTTCGTCTTTATTTAACAATTCACAGGTAAAACATAAAATTAAATTCATAATTCTTTTATTTTCTTTCTAAAATTAGTGATCATGAAGGTGGTAATGTTAGTGCTCACACAAGTCATCTTGTTGGTAGTGCACTTTCTGATCCATATTTATCAGTTGCTGCAGCTATGAATGGTCTTGCTGGACCACTTCATGGTCTTGCAAATCAAGAAGTTCTAATTTGGATAACAAAATTAGTTGAAAAAATAGGTGAAACACCAAGTGATGAACAAATCAAACAATATGTTCATGAGACACTTAAAACAAGTGTTGTACCCGGTTTTGGACATGCTGTTTTACGTAAAACTGATCCACGTTATACATGTCAACGAGATTTTGCACTTAAACATTTGCCAAATGATAATATGTTTAAAATTGTTTCACAACTTTATAAAGTTGTACCACAGTTACTCGGTGAACTTGGTAAAGTTAAAAATCCCTGGCCAAATGTTGATGCACATTCCGGTGTTCTTCTTCAAGTAGATTTATTTTGATTTTTATATAATTTCTATGATTTAATTATCTTTTTTACTTTTAGCATTATGGTATGAAAGAAATGAATTTTTATACTGTTTTATTTGGTGTTTCACGTGCACTTGGTGTTCTTTCTCAAATGATATGGTCACGAGCATTAGGATTTCCATTAGAACGACCTAAATCAATGTCGACCGATGGTCTGATGGCTTTAGTAGCTGCTACCGGTGATAAACAAAAATCTAAGGCAGCTTAAATTCATTTAGGAAATATTTGTGTATGTATTATCAATCAACATCAATATATTAAATTTTTTTCATTCGTATTTAATATTTTATTTCCTCTTTAATAAGATCGATTATAATAACTTTTTATTATCGAGAATAGCTATTTTTTTTTCATTTCATCTGTGTTACTATTACTTTAGGAAAATAAAAACAAATTAAATAGGATACAGTAATATAATGTTATTTTTTATTTAAAACCTATCTTGAAAATATCTATCACAATAATGAAGAGCTAAATCAAAATGTAACGAAAATAACTAATTGTTTTTGATTTTAACTAATAAATAACATGATCAGTTATGAAATTCATTTATTGAAAATAATGCATCCATCAAAAGTTTTTCAATCAAAAGCGAATTTATACTATGCATTGTCGAAGAAATATCCTGTAGATTATTAATCTATTGATGTATGATTTATACTTGATATTATGTTGGAATCTACATTTTTATCTTTAGTGAGCTAAATTTCCTTTAATATATATATATATATATATATATTTAATATTAAACAATAGTATTAAGTTTATATCATAGTTTCATCAAACAGCAAGCCAACATTAAGAGCTGATCGAACATTACGTAATGTTAAATTAGATTTTTTAATATCAGTAGATGATTTTTGTTTTTCATTGTTTAATGATGTTACAGATTTTAGAGATTGAGATGGATGGACGAGCATAGCATTGGATTTGACATCTTCTATATTAGGTAGTATTGACTCTTGAGAAGTATTCGATTCATACGATGTATGATCCGATGATACTAAAAAAAACTATTTAGAGGAATATGATATATGTATATTTACTTTGTGATGAACTAAATTTTTCTTTAGGAGAATATCGTTCCAGTTTCTTTGCTTCGTCAATGATTGATTCAGGTTGAATAAATAACTGTTCTTTATTTATACTGTTACGCTTTGTTTGTATATTTTCTAATACACTATTATTTAACAATGTTGATTTCAATTTAGACAAAGATAAACGATCATTATTCGATGTCTCTACTTTTCTCATAGGACGTATCGATGTATTGAATGATTGTGTATGTACCACTGTGTCTTCAGAATTCGTCTCTGAAATTATATCATTAATAAAACTTTTCTAAAAAATACTTTTTAAAATTTATTAAAATCAATAGTATATTTATAAAAGCATTACTTGATCATCTGTTGTTATAATAAAACTAGTACTGCTTACTTGAATTCCCTTATTTGTCGGTACAATTTTTTTCAAAGGTACTGACGGAATATTTAAATTATCAAAATTAAGATTATTTTTATTATATATATTAGCGGTCTGTGTTGTACTAAGTTGTCGATCATTACTCGTTACTGTATGATTCAATGGTTCAAGATAAATTTGATCAACAGTGACATTTCTATGCGCTGAATAACATTCTACTGCAGTGGAAGAAATTATTCGTCGTACTGTGACTCTGTATGAAGAAGGATCGAAAGGTTTTTGTTTTATATATATTCCTTTTGAACAAGACGATTCACGAAATAAATAATGTGGGGACCGTTGATAGAAATCTAAAATTAAGAAAAATGCATAGATTTTCTATTTTTGTACTACTAAAATGAATATACTTCGTTGAAAACAATAGCCATCACATCTTATTATCGGTTGTGGTATACGAACTGTAGGAGTACATTTGAACTTTCTATTCTTGTAAGGTTGAGTTGAATGACATTGATGTGATGAATTAAAACTAGACTGTTTCATTTGATTTATTGTTTCTATGTTTACAAAAGAATATTTTTCAATCGTTCTTTTTATAAATAAATGTGAATTACAGTAACATATTTACTAGAGAGATATTCATATTAGTTAATACAATTTCGAGATGAATTACATTGAAAAAAAAGAACAATTATTAATTTTCTCATTTGCGCTATTTTCTTTTAAATATTCTATTTAATAAGAATCTATATTTAATACGATACGGAACAAAACTTTTATGTAATACTACGCAAGTTTTCTTACTTTCTCGATGTGCACATCAGACTTGTTATTTTGCTTCGAGCTTACTAGTGTAAAAGCTCGTCTCTTACGTTGTCTAATATAAAATAGCTACTATTTCTGTGTGAATATATTTAGTTTAAATATTAAAAAAAAACTTCTATTGTCTAGTAAAATATAAATCGTATCGTAGATACTTGCATAAAGCACATAGAAAAATCATAAGATAGTATTTATATAATACAAATCGATTTAGGACTGCCGATTAATTTCGGTTATTTTCTTTAATCCCTAAACCAATAATTGGCTGCGTGTTTAATAAGTCCATCAGTCACCTAAATAACTGTAATAAATCGGTGTTTTTATCAATGTATGCGACATGAATGAGACCTCGTAACTTGCACTTTGTTTCTTGACTTCGTAGGTTATTAGTTATACTCTGTAAAAGTCCATTATTTTCTGGAATAACTACTGTTCTGACGAAAAATCAAAGCAGAAAGTTTTGAAATTTTATCTTGCTAAAATAATCATAATAAAAAGTTTAATTATACTTTATCTCACGTTTCTGTCGTTGAAAGTGACATAATCATTTTTCCTTTTTTTTCTTTCAACAAGTAATTGCAATATCATACAAAATATATGATGCGCGACGAATATGTATTCACTGACTAGGAAGAAAAAATAAAAACACATTATACTATCAACATATACAGCAACACAACACGCATTTCATTACCTTACCGGTAGAACTTGTCTACCGAATTCTCGATCATCAATCAGATCTCACAATTATATGCTCAATGAGAAATGTATGCCAACGGTTCAATAGAATCCTAGACAGTTATCACCGATATAAGGTAAATGTTTTTTCTATTATGACGGCCTAGTTTTTATTTATTGACTCTCGAAATATTTTTCATTTTCACAATCTCTATTTAAGTAGCATAACTTCAATAGCATATACACGAATAACGTATGTTTCACCCAAATTAATTTATCCTTTATTAATCTCATCTAAATATCGCACGTTTTAAACTAGCTATTATGTCATAAATATAAGATGTTTATATAAGAATGGAAAAAAGCATAGAACATTATTATTTGCCTTTTTGCGTCTATTTAAACACTTCTTTGTACATATCATATTCATAATAAAAATCAGATTTTGAAAGAAATTATTTCACACCTAAAGAATAATAATGAACGATACAACAAACTTCTTTAAACTCTAAATCATTTAGTACAATACACTGTGCTTTGTCCGCAATAATGCAAAATCTTCACCATTAAACTACATAGAATACATTTACGAACAATTATTCATTCAACAGAAATTCTTTTTTCCTGTATAAGCATTTGAAACCTCAAGAAACGCACAGATAAAACTTTCTGAACATCCTTCATCTTTAATAACCTCTTTCCAGTCTAGATTTTCACAAAATATGATCCTATTCTATGCAGTATATAAAATTCTAGAAATACTCATACCGACATGCAAAAGCTGCACAAAGTGGTCAGAGCAACATTTATTTCACTGCTCTAACTCTTCATCTATATTGTGTCTTTACTTTCATTTTTCATCTAGACAATTACTACATTAAATTTCATCTACAATGGAATCCGAGATGTTGCAGCGCAATATTTGGCTGACGCATTACAACACAACACAGTAACACTCATTATCTGTCGATCTATGGCATATCATTATCTCCACTTTTATATCTAGACCCTCACACTCACGACACTAAACCTCTCCGAGAATAAAATTGGAGATATTGGAGCACAATCTCTGGCTGTTGCATTAAAAGACAACACAGTAACTTTTCTTCTCTCTTCTTCTATGCCATGTATTTTTCTTGAATATTTTATCTAGACACTCACTACACTAAATCTGTGCAACAATATAATAGAAAATGGTGTGGAGATGGAAATATGGGAATTACTTGGACGCAATAAAAGCGAAGAAAAAGTGTGATTGTTATTATTAAATGCATTTAGATGACGAAGAAATTGCTGATGATGATTAAAGGAGTATTTTCTTGTGTTATAATTTGACAGAAACAGTTAATAAAGTGCTAATTTTGAAGGTGAATCTGTATTGTACTTATAATGTTTACTTGGAATGTTTTGATATTTGATGATGGAGATGATGCAGCTCTAAAAAACAGAAGTTTTGTAGAACTACTTTGTTACAAAGGTCGGACTTGCACGGTCGTAAACAACAGTTTATAGAAAAAAAATCGAAAATATACGAAGACCGTACAATATTACAACGGAATCAACAGACAAACTGTCTTTTAGCGTATAGGATGATATATTTTTGAGTTCAGATTATTGTGGCATAAATATTAATAAACAGTAAGTATATCGATTTTTCTATTTCTTATTTCTTTTTATTTTAGATCATTGTAATATACGCAACCACGAATAGTGAGTAAATTTTTTATTTAATTGATTTTATATTTTATATTATTGTGTGTAAACATAAACGAACAGTTAATATAGTTATTTTTTCAATATATTTTTATCCAACGTCAGGTCGTGGTTACACGATATTTGGTCAGAACATGACCTTGTACGAAAAGATCCGGTTATTTGTGGCTATATTTAGTCCGTATACGAAACTCGTAATTGTAACCAATCACACTAGGTCTCTCTCTGGACAAGGTCACCAACTGTATATAGCTATTCTTCATTTCGTTGTTCGTTCCTGTTTCTATACCTGCCCTTCTTCTGATTTACAAAAAGTATCGATCAGTTGACTGGAAAATGAAATAGAAGCAAGAAACACGAAACCCAAATAAACCATTACAGTAATGGTCAACCTGGATAGAAAAAGAAGAGAAGACCAGACCGATATCTATTGTATCGAGTGACGAATAATGCATGACGAATATGTATTTATTGAGTAGGAAGACAAAGAAACACATTGTACAATTAACATATAAAGCAACACAGCACGCATTTCGTCAACATTCTACAATGGCAAATCAAACTATCTCCAGTTTCATTACCTTACCGGTAGAACTTGTCTACCGAGTTCTGGATCATCAATCAGATTTCACAATTATATACTCAATGAGCAATGTTTGCGATCGGTTCAACAGAATCCTAGACAGTTATTATCGATATCAAGTAACTTTCTTTTTTATCATGATAAAAGACTTGCTTCCCAGCGCATTTTATATAAAAGAATTTTTCTGAGGAGGGACATTTCTGGCATAATTTATTATCAAAATAAAACGTCGAGCACAGTTTGTAAGGAAGATTTTCTATTCGACGTTTTAGCACATATTCATTTTTCACTCACTATCGGACTGACATTATCCAATAAACTCTATGCCTCGGTTATTTCTATAAACCAATTCTGTTTTATGTATACAACCCACTTAGGCAACGCGCATAGAGTTCTCATGCAAATCACATATCGAGTCTCATCAAGAAGCATGATAATACTCCTCTATCACCTACTGGCAAGAAACTATCTTTTGTCATGCCTAAATAATATACTACGCTTTTTATGCGTAATACGAAACCTACACAATTGAATTACTCAGAATAAATTTACAAATAATTATTCTTTCAAGAGAATTTTTTTCTTATTTTAAAAGCATTTGAAACCTACAGAAACTCACATATAAACATATCTCAACATCCTTCAACCTTAGTAACTCCTTTTTCGTCTAGATTATCAGAAAATATGATCCCATTTTTTGCAGCATATAAATTCCTTCAAATAATCATATTGCGATCCATAAGCCCTAGGAAGAGTTTGTAACGAAATTTCTGATCGTTCGTGCTTTATTTAACCGAATGAAAATGAAGAGATAAGAATGAACAATGAACGACTATCTATCGCTATTCATGCGAAACGGTCAAGAAAGGTGAAATAATAAGGAGTGACCCATGTGTATGGATATGCACAGCGGGCATGTGTCGGTCACGAATATAGAAGAGAAACGGATGAATCAAATGCGTCCGGGAGGTCAGAACAGCATTTTGTTTCACTGCTCTAACTCCAAATAACACTGACCAACTATTCATTCATTTCATCGATATCGTGTTTTTATCTGCAATTTTTCATCTAGACACTCACTACACTAGATCTCTATCAAAAAGAGATCGGTGATGTTGGAGTACAATATTTGGCTGATGCATTAAAATGCAACACGGTAACTCTCATTCTCTTTTTATCTATACCATGTATTTACTTCCACTTTTACATATAGACACTCAATACAGTAAATCTAGGATTCAATGAAATCGGGACGGTTGGAGCACAATATTTGGCTGGTACATTACAGCACAACACAGTGACTCTCATTCTCTCTTTATCTATACTATGTCTTTACTTCCACTTTTTCATCTAGATACTCACGACACTAGATCTCTACCACAATGAAATCGGAGATGTCGGAGCAAAATATATAGCTGCTGCATTACACCACAACACAGTAACTCTTATTCACTCTTTATCTATACCATACATTTCCCTTCCCTTTTTCATCTAGACACTCACCTCACTAAATCTAGGATTCAATGAAATCGGAAAGATTGGAGCACAATCTTTGGCTGATGCACTACAACATAACACAGTAACTCACACTTACTTTTTGTCTATACCATGTATTTCCGATCACCTTTTCATCTAGAAACTTAACATACTAAATCTCGAACGGAATAAAATCGAAGAGGATGGAACAAAATATTTGGCTGATGCATTACAATACAACACAGTAACTCTTATATTCTCTCTATGTATATCACATCTTTTCCTCCACTTTCATCTAGGCACTTACTACACTCAATCTCAAATACAATCAAATTGGTGAGGTTGGAGCACAATATCTGGCTGATGCATTACAGCACAATACAGTAACTCACATTCTCTCTTTATCTATGCCATGTTTTTACCATTACTTTTTTATTTAGGCACTTACTGCACTATATCTCTATCGGAACAAGATCGGTGATATCGGAGCACAATATTTGGCTGATGCATTAAAACGCAACAGGGTAACTCTCATTCTCTTTTTACCTATACCATGTGTTTACTTCCACTTTTACACATAGGTACTCACTACACTAAATCTCGAACTGAATGGAATCGGGGATGTTGGAGCACAATATTATGCTGGAGCACTGAAACGCAACACGGTAACTCTCATTTTCTCGTTATCTGTGCCATGTCTTTATCACCAGTTTTTCACCTAGACACTGACTACTCTAGATCTCTCCTACAATGATATCGGAGATGTTGGAGCGCAATATCTGGCTGATGCATTAAGACGCAACACAGTAACTATCATTCTGTCTTCATCTAGGCCATGTCTTAATTACCAGTTGTCCACCTAGACACTTACTACTCTAGATCTCTCCTACAATGATATCGGAGATGTTGAAGTACAACATTTGGCTGATGCCTTACAATACAACACGGTAACTATCATTCTCGCTTTATCTATATCGTGTCTTTACGTGCCGCTTTTCATCTAGACACTAACTACACTAGATCTCTACGGAAATCAAATCGGAAATATTGGGGCACAATATCTGGCTGATGCATTACAACAGAACATAGTAATTCTCATTTTCTCTTTGTCAATAGCATGTATTTTTCTTCATTTCATCTAGAAACTCACCACACTCAATCTCGAGCGAAATAAAATCGGAGCTGTTGGCGCACAATCTTTGTCTGATGCATTACAACATAACACTGTAAGTCTCATTCTCTCTTTATCTATGCCATATTTTTACCATCACTTTTTTATCTAGATACTCACTACACTAAATCTCTACAACAATGTAATCCCAGATGTTGGAGCACAATATTTCGCTGATGCATTACAACGCAACAAAGTAAGTATCTTTCGCTCTTTTTATATACCATATATTTACCTCTGCTATTACATCTAGACACTCACTACACTGAATCTGACGGGAAATGCAATTGGTAATGTTGGAGCACAATATTTAGCAGATGCATTACAATACAATACAGTAACTGTCATTTTCTTTTTGTCGATATCATGTTTTTACCTTCATTTTGTTACGTAGACACTCACCACACTAAACTTCTTCTGGGTTAGAAGATTTGGACTAGATGTGGAGAGGAAAATCAAGAAACTTCTTGAACGCAATGAAAGAGCAAGAAAACTGTGAATGGTGATATTAAATGTATTTGGATGCCGAAGAAATCGCCAACCTTGATCATGCCAGTGTTTTCTGGTGCTATAATTTTGACAGAATCAGTTAATAAAAGTGCTTGTTTCCAAAGTCAACCTGTATTGTATTTTTCATATTCGTTGCGCATGTTTGATATCGAATAACAGGGATGCTTCGGCTGTGAAAAAACAGAGGTTTTGCAGAAGTACTTTTTTAGTTCGCAGCTCGTGTATGAGAGAGCTGAAATGCTATATAGCACTAGTGGAATTCTGAAAATTTGTTTTCATTTGAGTTTAGTCAAGAGAGGTTTTTATAATAGTAACAAAATTGTGAAAGATCGTTCCGAGTGACAAAAGGGTCTGATAGTGCTAAATCAATTTTGATTGTTGTGGTTTTGCTGAACTTCTCAAAATTTTGTGGTGTAGATGTGCTTGCATGTATTTGAGTTACAATGTAATGATTTACGTTTTACTAGAACAGACTTGTCGAAATATGATAGAAATTGAAAATGTGAATTTATTGCGAAAGAAGCAGCTACTACGGCTTGCAACATGTTGTCTCTCAATAGTATCGATCAGTATGAGAGAGAATCCTGTTGGGATTATCAGTAACTTTACAGTAGATACTCGCTAGTGACAGTAGTTTTTAAAGCGTTTGATTCAACAACAAAACCAACTTTATTATATAAAGACTAAAATTTATGCGAATATAATTTTGTTGTATAAATATATATTTAAAAAGAATGATTATAGTGGGTCTTAAATTAATCATCCTTGACTCTAATATTAACCGAATTATTAACTGGTAGAAGCTTCTTTATATTAGTCAGAATCTAACAAAAAAAAAGAACGAAAAGTTTTTTATTACATGTATCAGTCGAAGAGGGAAATCAATCATATAATCTTACATAACAGTACACTGCTAAATATATGAATAAATAATAGTTTACACATATAATTCAGAGATAATATCAAACAATATGAAACTAAAATAAATGTCTGATAGAAGAAAACGAAACTGAAACTTAATTATAGAATTTTTGTAATGTAATAGTAAAACCTGATCAAACAATTCAACCAGAAAAAACAAATCGTTTCGAATTAACTGAACATGGTCGTCTTTTAACATCGAATCATCCAAGTAAAACTCGATATTTACTTTATTGGGGAATTAAATCCAAAAATATACAACAATTCAACAAGCAAAACTTGGAAATGAATTTGATAAACAGAATATATCAAAAGATCGATATCAATTCATCAGTGGAGATATGTTTGATGCAACGATAATTCCATAAGCTGGTGCTTATATCATGAAAAATATCATTCACGATTGGAATGATAATCGAGCAGTTAATATAATGAATAAAATAAAAGTAATAATAATATTGCACATAGTATCGATATGCATATGATGGTAATGTTAGGTGCAAAAGAACGTACACAATGGCAATATGAATATCTTTTAAAACAAGGTGGTTTTCATCTAAAACAATTAAATTATACAGAAACACCAATTTAAATCATCGAAGCTATACCTAATTAATTCATACTTTCTTTTGACTGATTTTTATCATGTAAACGAAGATCTTTTTTTTGTAGGAAGAATTTTAATATAGAATTTAATTCAACGATATTGTTGTTGACGTTATTCAAAAGTTCGATCAGCGTCATCTATTAGATTAAAAGAAAAATACCCTGCATACATATATCTATCTATCTATTATCTAGAGAGAATAGTAAAGGAACTATCGATTGTTATTCATATTCTAATTTTATCTTTTCATGAATATATCATCTACATTATCAAATCTATATTTAAATGAATATTACTATGAACCATCGACATTTTCAGCATATACTACTAATCAACTTTACTATAATTATCAGTATAATGCAAACTCAACATCAATTCTAAATTATTCAGCAAATAATTATAATCGTAACATTTGTTGTCTCTAATGTTTAAATTTTGTTGATTTCTAGTTTTTAATCATGATTTCTTATATTCACAAGAACCAACAGTTAATACAATTAAAATTCATATTAATCCTTTTTTCAAACCCCGTTCATCACATCATACAAGTGAATCATCAACTGACCTTCAACAACCACAACATAATTTATCTGTACCTTCACGAAGTCAAAGTCGCTCATTATCCTTTGATCGACAAGTAATAACATCTACTAATAAAGAATCAAAAGTGGTCATTCAAAGAAAACAATTAAAATCAAAGCATCGTCGTACTGCAATCGATAGATCAGAAAAGAAAAAAGACAAATTAAAACGTTTATATAAAGAATATTCTGATGAAAACGTATATGAACATTGGAAACCATTACGAACTCAACAATGTTCTGAACTATGTCAATATGCTTTAGACAAATATCATCAAATAGAATAGATTTCTTTTATTATTAATATATTTTTAAGTTTGATATTTCTATAGATTTTCTTGTTCCTTGTTTTTATTCTTGTAAATTACACTTTTTTTGTTTCTCATAGATTATATGTGTAAATATGTTAACTTTGTAATTAAAACTGAACATAACTATCAAATATTCTTCCGAAAAAAGAAGTTGCTTTTCTCATAGCATCATACCGAATAAGTCATTTTTTAGTTCGAAGGTGATTCAAAAACCTTTGAAAATTGCTAAGAGTTGATTTTATTTCTTAGATATGCGATGTCGGTTTCGTCGATTAAATTATATCCTATTCTTAAGTATTTCTTTATTTATGTTTTATCGAATATATAGCATAAATCCTATTTATCATACTCTCAATCACCTTTTACAGTAAGTAATCACTCATTAGTGATCTTTCTATTTCTACGTCGAATAGCTCATTCATTATCAAAACTACACTTATCGTACACTTTCATCATCTTTTACATATAATTCTCGTGGATCATATCTTAGTTTTGCTTATTTCAATGTTGAACAACGTAACCGAGTATTACATATTGATTTTTTATATGGTAGGTTTTCGTATGCAGTATCAATCAAACATTATACAGGCCTCGCAGCGTGTTTACTTTCCTGATTTTTTCCTGATTTTTTAAAAATGTCCTGATTTTCCTGTTTTTAACTAAAAATCCTGATTTTGTCCTGATATTTTATGAATTATCCTCATAGGAGTAAATTTACGTAATTATGATCTTTCTTGCTATTTTACTCCGTCTATTTTCGATTTATACAAAATATTTTCACATTTTTCCATCGAAAGGCAAGATAATATTATTAATAATATTCAAAATAAATTTATTTCAAACATTCATTTTTTCTGTTTTTTTCTTAATCGGTTCAAATTTTCATTATTTTCAATCATTTTAGTTTTTAACCTTTTCGGGACGGGATTATTTTTTTCAAAACGAAAGAATGCAATACGAAGTTAGTTGAAGTTAATTAATTTTTCATTTAGTTGACTTTAATTGGTGTGAAGCTGCACGACGAAACAAAGATTTAGCTAAAACTTTTTTTTATAAAGTAAGTCCCGTCCATAAAAGCTAGTCTATTCGACTCAGAATTTAATTCTGCATCGAATGGGGCTACTTTTATTCATGAGACAAACTTTTGAAAAATGTTATCTAGGTTTTTTTCTCTTACACAGGATAAAAATTAAGATATAGGCAAAACTTTTTCCAAAGCATGTCCCGTGAATAAAAGTAGCACCATTCGATGTAGAATTAAATTCCGAGTCGAATGGACTTGCTTTTATGGACGGGACTTACTTTATAAAAACAAATTTGGCTAAATCTTTGTTTCGTCGTGCTAGCTCCATCGTGCTAGCTTCACATCGATTTGACATTATTCATCATTTCGGAACGATCACGGCGCATACATGCGTCACCCATACCAAAGACCAGAGTAATATCAGTGAGAAAAATAGATGAATACTACGGATCCTGAAATGTGAATCTTTTTGAAACGGGTGGCCACTATTATAGCCACCCGTTCCGAAAGGGTTGAAGATGCTAATTTACTATTAGCAGCTGTCACCAGTACTTCGACTGTACCGATATCATCAAGTCTTTTATTCTTCACAGCTGCAGCAAGTCTTGTAATTCCTTTGTCTAACATATTAGTCATCTTGTTCGTTCAACAACTGTTTTTCTGTTTCTTTTATTCTTAAAGAATTAAGAGAGAATGCCGACTATAAGAATAAACAATAAGAAGGGACAGAAGAGCAAAAAATAAAAATTAGAAGTACATATTTGAAGAAAAGATAATATTGTTACACATTTTACTCTCTCTGAAGCAGTTTTCATGTTTATTAAGGCAAGTTATGCTGAAAGATTAGTTTTCAATCATTACTCTGTTCCATCTAAACGTAAATTTTATACTAAACAGTAGTATTTCAACACATTTTGCAATGTCCTGATTTTTATTGAAATTCCTGATTTTTTTTCCATTTGTGTCCTGCCTATTTTCCTGATTTTGTAACATATGCCGCTGCGAGGCCTGATTATACTATAATTTTTAGATATACCTGTTTCATCACAATGGCAATCGGATAGACATCTTTATCCAATTCAAATTGCTCAATATGGTTTAAGTCATTGGAGTCGATTAGAACTCAATTAGAAAAATCAACAAAATAAAATATATAAATTCGAACGACTACAGCCAAGTGAGGTTTTATGACTTTATATTTGAAATGTACTATTATTTTTATTTAGAAGAAAATAATCATTGTTCATCGTGGCATAGAATAAAAGATGAAATATTTCTTTCAAATACTTATATTCATTTTACAATTTCATCCAATTCTTCATTACATTTTCATTTTTTCAATAACGATATTGAACTTATTTATTCAACGAAAACAATTCATGATTTAGAAACTTTAACTAAGAAGATTATTTCACTCAAGGGTTCTCCTCGTCAAGTCAATCGATATATGCTAATTGACATAGAAAAACTAATGAGAAAAACACTTTTTTTCAGACGTGATTTTGTCAAAATTCAACTTTGTGGTGATACACAATCTAGTGTTGATCAATTAATTATTGGTAATCAAACTTTGTATGATCAACAAGCTTTTTATTCAGCAACACGATGGTTATTAAATAATCAAGATTTACAAACAGGTTGTTGGTTTATTCATGTTCAACGAAATTATGTTCATCATCCTCACTATCATTTACGAAATCCATGGTGTTCAGCAATGGCACAAAGTTTATTTTGTTAGTATAAAAAGTATCAGCTAATACTTTTCTTCTAAATTTAGGTCAAGCTGCATCATTACTCGTTCGTCTCTATTCACTAACAAATAATAAGGAACATTTATTAGCTATTCGACGAGCTATTCAACCTTTATGGTCATCAAATCTGACTCGAGCTTATTTTAACAATCGTTTTGTTTGGCTTGAAGAATATCCAGTAGAATCAGCAACTAAAGGTCTTTTTGTTCTTAATGGATGCCTTTATGCTTTAATCGGTATAATCGATGCTAATACAATTGATTATGAACCATATTTATCTGACTTAATAAATCAAATAATTATCTCATTAGAACATATGCTTCCATATTATGTTCATTCACATATTTCAAATTGGTCTCTCTATGATTTAAGTCATATAACAATGAAATCAAAAATAAATTCAGCTTCTTATTCATATCATCTTGTACATATAACTTTACTTCAATGTTTACGACAAATATTTAAAAAAACAAATGATTCCGTATCTCAGCTATTTGATTTCTATGTAGAACGATTTACATCAGCTATTTTGTAGTATAATCTTCATTCTCTTTGACTGGATAATAATAAATAACAATAAAATCTTTTGTTTGTTCTTCATTACGAACAAGACCAAAACCAATATATCTACAATCAGGATTTAATATTGGTGTGTAGCGTATCTAAAAAAGCCAGAAAATAAATATCAGTAGATCTATCAATCATTTCTTTACTTTCGACGATTGACCATTTTCAAAATCATCAATAAGTTCATCATGAATTAATTTAGCAATATCTGAACCATCATTCACAGGTGCTTGACAAGACATAATTCTATAAAATAAAAAGCATATTGAAAATATTGTTTCAGTTTTTTATACGTTTCTCCGATAGGTTCACTATTATGAATAAGATCAAATTCAGTGGTGTTTTCTATATAATTTTGAACTGATAAATGTGTTGCTCGATCAAGTGCTCGATTAGTAAGTTCCGAAGAAGGTTCAAGTGATGGAAATCCTAGTTGAGAACGATATTCATTTATTGTTTCGAGATATTGCTTTGTTAATCGATCTAAATCAATGTCGCTTTGAATTTTATCTCTAACATTTGATGTTGACATGATCTCGTTCATTAAATGATTATTCGACACTTTTTTATCTTTCGGTAATGATGAAGATTCATTGTTGATTATTGTTGTTTCTGTAGGACGTGATTTTGGTTTTCGACAACAACAAAGACGACGACAAGTAATCATTGTATTCGACATACATTCTATTGAATATATTATTTGATTTTACTACATAACAAGAATCAAATTTCGGGACGAAATATAACAGAATTCGTCGACTCAATTAAATGATATTTTTAGCGCTATCTACCAGTTGACATTAGAAAATTATTTCATTTAAACTTTTTAGTAATAAAAATAATACACATTAAGTATGATTTCATGTGAAGAGTAGTTTGTTTTGGGATCTGTGTCATATTTTTTAATATTGATCATATTATATTCTAATAATTTTCTTATTTTGAAGATGAACATACAAAATTACTTCATCTTCCAGTTTTTTTCCGAACAATGAATAGTACAACATTCGAAGTTGTTTTTGTGAATAATTATAATATAATCCTCCATATTTTTCGGTTTTTGAATATTTTTGAAAAAGAGACTTAAGCCATTGAATAAAAGCTCGTGTCAGTTGTATCAGTTTCGTTCGACCACTAAAACTAATCTTCTTCATGGGTGTCTTTGTAGGGTGTGACTGTGTCGCTGAGTGTCTGCTTGATCAGATCAATCATAGATACAAACCTACATCCATCCACCCAAGCTCACCTACCCACACCCACACCCACACCCACACCCACACCCACCCACCCACATTCACACCCATCCACACTCACACCCAAGGCTAGAAAGAAGCTTAGGGAGGTTCCTTCGGCAGATGTACGTGATTTTTCCTTATTACATTGCTATTCTGATCGTGACAAGATGATTTGTATATACTAATCGTGATGGCAAAGAAATAAACGTGTTTGAATGATCATGAAACCACGGACGTGATAGTTACTGTTTGGTAACC